AGCATGTCCCCGGGGGGGCTGTGGCAGGTCCCCCCTCCTCCCAGGGGACGGGGCTTGCACGGGCCTCAGGGAGCTTGCAGCAGTGCCTCACATGCAAAACCAGCGGGGCTGCGAATTACGTATTGCAGAGATCCCAAAATTACTGGGACAGTTTCACACGCAAGCTGGGGTCTGGGGGATGCTCAGTTGCTGTCCTCTGGGAAGCTGAATTTGGGGTTATTTTTAGATAAGGATTATACATACCATGGTAAGGAGAGCTGATTTACATTTAGGGTTGTGTTCGCAAACGTGCCCTGTCCCTGCGGGCCCCAGCGCTTGCTCCTGTGGCCACACGAAACTGCTTTTGGCTGGGACGGGGTGTCCGCAGAGCCACCCTTTCCCTGACATCAGGGTGTCCCCAGGCCACCCTCTCCCCGACACCAGTGTCCGTGGGCAGGGGCCCTCCCGCGGACACGGCCATGGATCATGGGGACCATGCAGCTCCCTGAGGCCATTGCGTGCTGGCTCTACTCGGGGAGGAACCCCTGCAAAACCACACACCCTCGGACCCCTGAAAGGAGAAAGGACGTGACTGCCTGGCATGAGATACAGCCCCTGGTCCAGAGCACCTTCTCCCTGTGCCCTGCCACCCTTCCACCATGGCAGTTTGCTGAGATATCCATCCCCTTTCCTGCCACTGGGCTTCTTCCCTTTCTTCTCTCAGGTGGAAGATGCCTGTGGGACTGGAGAGGCTCCCAGGTACCCCGTGTCCTGCCTGACCCATCCCATCCCCATCCTCATCCTATCTCCCTCCCCATCTCCATCCCATCGCAGCTCCATCCCATCTTCATCCCCATCCCCATCCTCATCCTAGCCCCCTCCCCATCTCCATCCCATCCCAACTCCATCCCATCCTCATCCCCATCCCCATCTTCATCCTATCCCCCTCCCCATCTCCATCCCATCCCAGCTCCATCCCGTCTTTATCCCCGTCCCCATCCCCACCCTCATCCTATCCCCCTCCCCATCTCCATCCCATCCCAACTCCATCCCCTCCTCATCCCCATCCCCATCTTCATCCTCGCCTCCTCCCCATCTGCATCCCATCCCAACTCCATCCCATCCTCATCCCTGTCCCCATCTTCATCCTAGCCCCCTCCCCATCTCCATCCCATCCCAACTTCATCATCCCCATCCCATCCCCATCCAAACTCCCCCCAGCTGGCAGGGTGGAGGCAGCCGGTCCATCCCGACAGAGGAGAGGCAGACACGTCCCCTCTGCAGGACCCCATCCTGCACCCAGCTCTGCCCAGGGTTTGGAGCACCCTTGGGCTCACACGGCTCTTTGAAGGGTGGTTGGGAAGGAGGGGAGCGCTCAGCGTGCCTGTGCAAACACATCTCCTGGGTGCAGCATCAGGGCCAGGCAGGGAGCTCCACCGCCAGCTCAGCAGCATCTCACCGGCTGCATTAACTCCTTGGCAGCCAGAGCGCCAACTGAACTGTGTGAAAATGCGGAATTTTGGCACATTGCTGCATTTTTCTCCACAGAGACCATTAATGAGCAGTGGTGGGATGGGGAGCCCCTTCCCACCCTAATGTTCAGATACAGCGGGACTGGAAATGTGGTGAAGGACAACTGCTGTCCTCGGGCTGGAGGTTCTGGCCTCTCCAAGCACCCAGAGATGCTCCTGCCTACTTTTCATCTTTCTTTTGGGGGACTAAGACTTTCCTTCAACTGTTTCTTTTTGTAAAAATTCAGAATGCAACTTTTTTTAATTAAAAAAGAGGAACACAGACCCAATGCTATGGCACGAACCCGGCATTGGCCCAGCAGATCAGAAACTGGAAATGAAGCAAGACCAGACGAACCTTTTCATGGGGATATTAGTAAAACTGAAAGGAGAAAAATTGAACATGTTTTCATGGAAATTTCCATTTTTGAAAAAAAAAAAAAAATTAAAAGAAGGACTAAACTTGGATGCATTTATATAAATATGGAAATGAAAGCTGTTTCCTGAGCCTTGTCGCCGCCCCACGGCCAGCCCCGCTCTCCCGCTCCCTCCAGCAGCGGTTCCCCCTCTGCCGTGACTCGTGCCCGAGCCCCCCGCAGCCGTCACCCCCTGCCCTTCTCCGGCTCCAGCTGAGCCTGCAGCAGCCTCCTCTTCTTCAGCAAAGCATTGCTTTATATTCAGCAACTGGTTGGCTTTGCCGAATGGCAGCCGGCGCCGCAGCCCGGTGGTGTGCATCCCGGGGGACCAGGCTGGCCGGTTGAGGTAGTTCGAGGATGTGCAGCATCCTCCTGGGGTCTGCCTCGGCCGGGGCGATGCTGCAGGGCCTGGTCCCCATGGAGTGATGTGCTGAGGGAGCCGGGGATGGAGATGGGGCTGATGGAGGAGCTGAGTCCCCCTGTGAAACCCGTCCTTGATGCCATCGCAGGGGACGTGCCCGTAGGGATACAGGTGGCTGACGGGACGGCCCGGTGATGGGTGTGCGTGAAGCAGCTGGGACCGGCGCACACACTGTCACGCTCTGGCTTTGCAAACTCCTTCCCATCACTACAAGAAGAGGCCTCCTCTATTCTGCCTTGCTGTCAGCTGGGGTTTTTTTCTTTGTTTCTATAGAAAATCCCAATTCCCCCAAATAATCCAGCTAAGAGTAAGAAAAAAAAAAAAAAGAAAGAAATACAAACGTGTCATTGCATTCTCTTCCCATCCCCGTCCCTCTCTCACACACAGGGCTTGAAAGCATACTGAAAGGTATTCAGCGTGCACGCTGCCAATTGTCACATCTTTCAATGACAGATTTTAAATGAATGTTATTTTGCAAGGGAGAGAGAAGGGGAAAAAAAAAAGAAAAATAAAAAGCCCACACTGCTCATCCAAGAGCTGACAAGTCCTAACGGGCCTCATTTTCCAGAGACAAAAATAACTATTTTCAAAATTCACAGCAGGGCCTTCGCCTACACACGCTGCACCAAGAGAAACCTGTGGGGAGAAATGTAAAACACATTGTGTAAATGGAAATGCACCATGCATCCAAAATGCTTTTAAAGCTATTTACCCTCTTTCATCCTCGCCAGCTCTCCTCCGAGCGCACGTACACACGCTCGCACCCCGCC